TTGCTCTAGTCTCTGGTCTCGCTCTAGTCTCTCTCTAGTCTCTGGTCTCGCTCTAGTCTCTCTCTAGTCTCTGGTCTCGCTCTAGTCTCTCTCTAGTCTCTGGTCTCACTCTAGTCTCTCTCTAGTCTCTGGTCTCGCTCTAGTCTCTCTCTAGTCTCTGGTCTCACTCTAGTCTCTTGTATCACTCTAGTCTCTCTCTAGTCTCTGGTCTCGCTCTAGTCTCTCTAGTCTCTGGTCTCGCTCTAGTCTCTCTATAGTCTCTGGTCTCACTCTAGTCTCTGGTCTCACTCTAGTCTCTCTATTCTCTGGTCTCACTCTAGTCTCTGGTCTCGCTCTAGTCTCTCTCTAGTCTCTGGTGTCACTCTAGTCTCTCTCTAGTCTCTGGTCTCACTCTAGTCTCTCTCTAGTCTCTGGTCTCACTCTAGTCTCTCTCTAGTCTCTGGTCTCACTCTAGTCTCTCTCCATTTCAGCTCAATAACGAGATTTGAATGTTCTAAATATATAACATTGAGCCACACGGTCCCAGATCTCCTTTAACACAACACTATATAATCTGTGGGGAAATCAAAAGTCTTTCTTCTGGTCTGAATTATTTCGAAAACCAACACATCCAATCCCATCTCTGCTTCTACAAAACGTCCTATTATTAGAGGCCTCCCCGCGGTAGAGGAACCCCACAGCCTTCACTCCCCCTCTCCCCCCCAGTCTCTCCACTGGAGCCTGTTATTCCCACCTATCTCCTGAATGCACCAGCCCTGACCCAGAAAACACAGTCCACATAAGCCTCCCGTCAGTAAATAGACTCTTCTCCGACGTTATCAGGAGCGAGGCGGGAGGCCGGCAGGAACAGGATCCGGTAAAACAGAGAGCGCTCCTCCACAGGGGCCACGCAAATGTATTCATGAACATTGACCTGCAGATGTGTGCGATACCAGATGTAGCGGAATGAGATTCACCATGTGGCTCAAAGCAGCGTCAGGAAACACAGAGATAGTGTTTAAAATGTTATAAGGCTTTCGGAGGTTTCAGGGACAAAGACTGCAATTATTTAAGTTATTTGGAAACAAAGAAGGTGATGAGCAAAAACAATACGTCTCCCTCTGGTCCCTCTCTCTGGTCCCTCTCTCTGGTCCCTCTCTCTGGTGTCTCTCTCTGGTCCCTCTCTTGGGTCTTTCTCACTGGCCTTTCTCTCTGGTCTCTCTCTGGTCTCTCTCTGGTCTCTCTCTGGTCTCTCTCTGGTCTCTCTCTGGTCACTCTCTTGTCACTCTCTTGTCACTCTCTGGTCTCTCTCTGGTCTCTCTCTGGTCTCTCTCTGGTCTCTCTCTGGTCTCTCTCTGGCCTTTCTCTGGCCTCTCTCTGGTCTCTCTCTGGTCTCTCTCTGGCCTCTCTCTGGTCTCTCTCTGGTCTCTCTCTGGTCTCTCTCTGGTCCCTCTCTGGTCTCTCTCTGGCCTCTCTCTGGCCTCTCTCTGGTCTCTCTCTGGCCTCTCTCTGGTCTCTCTCTGGTCTCTCTCTGGCCTCTCTCTGGTCTCTCTCTGGTCTCTCTCTGGTCTCTCTCTGGCCTCTCTCTGGCCCTCTCTGGTCTCTCTCTGGTCTCTCTCTGGTCTCTCTCTGGTCTCTCTCTGGTCTCTCTCTGAGTCTGGTCTCTGAGTTAGTGTTTTGTCTTGATATACTGTATAACAGATAATTGTGCCTGTGTGATTGACAGCCGGCGCCTGCTGCACTAAAGGAACAGATGTGAAATAGACAATGGTTTATCCCACCATATGCGTCGCTGTAATTAAAGTCCTGAACCAGAGCCACGGCAGAAAACACATACATGCTCTGTGTATTTATTTATAAGATTAAGGATAAAACAGGCTCATTATGAAGAGCTTTGTCACTGTAGAGCGGCTAATCTGTCGTTCAATGTGTTGAGAATAATTAGGAAAACTATAAATCACATTTGTAAGAAGCGTGGCTCTAAAAATAAACAAATGGAAGTCGTCAGATTTGCTTTGACAGTTTGGATTAGGCCTTCAGCAAATCCCAAGAGAATCACTGTGTGGATCAATCCTGAAACAATCAAAACTGGGGTACCACCGTCTCTCTCTCTCTGGTCTCTCTCACTGGTCTCTCTCTCTGGTCTCTCTCTCTCTTTCTCTGGTATCGCTCTCTCTCTCTGGTCTCTCTCTGGTGTCTCTCTCTGGTCTCTCTCTCTGGTCTCTTTCTCTGGTCGCTCTCTCTGGTCACTCTCTCTCTAGTCACTCTCTCTCTGGTCTCGCTCTTTCTCTGGTATCTCTCTCTCTGTCTTTGGTCTATACATCTGAATGTTTTATAGAGACAGCTTCAGTTGTGTCCTCCCTCTCTTACCATACATACACACTGTAGTGGGAGTAAACCTGGACACACACACACACACACACACACACACAGACACACACGCAGACACACACACACACACAGACACACACACACACACCTCTCGGTTCCACAAGCACAGGTTTGATGGATGGCGTGTTGACGGTGCGTACAGAGGCCTGGGGTTCTGCGCTCTCATTATTACTGCATTAAACCTGCTCCTCCCCTGAACCTGCCTCACTCTGACTGCAGCTGTACACGCGTACCATCTACATACGTACCATGTAAACACATACCATGGAGCCACACAAACCATGTACACAGGGACCATGGAGCCACAAGCACCCTGAGCCACACGCAGAGCAGAGACTGGAGAGAACACATTCTCTCTGGTCTCTCTCTCTGGTCTCTCTCTGGTCTATCTCTGGTCCCTCTCTGGTCCCTCTCTGGTCCCTCTCTGGTCCCTCTCTGGTCCCTCTCTGGTGTCTCTCTGCGTCTCCCTGGTCCCTCCCTGGTCCCTCCCTGGTCCCTCTCTGGTCTCTCTCTGGTCTCTCTCTGGTCTCTCTCTGGTCTCTCTCTGGTCTCTCTCTGGTCTCTCTCTGGTCTCTCTCTGGTCTCTCTCTGGTCTCTCTCTGGTCCCTCTCTGGTCCCTCTCTGGTCCCTCTCTGATCTCTCTCTGTCTGCAGTATTACTGAGTCGTGCCGATTTTCACCATCCTAAAATCGCATATATTTTGAGCTGTTTTAAATAAATGTTTAAATGTCTGTTTTAAATACTGCAGGAGGAGAGAGAGACTGGAGCAGAGGACTCAGCATCTGCCAGAGACGTGAATGTGTATGAGAAATCTCCCACAGGATCCAGCCCCAGAGACTGAGGAGAGAGGGGGGGAGAGGGGGGAGAGAAGGGGAAGAGAGGAGCCAGAGGAGAGATGGTTTCAACACTGTATGATATTCTGGCATCATTCGAGTTCCACGTAACCTCAAAACTATGTATAGGAAGTATGAAATATTGTTTTATAGCTACAGAGCCGAAACGCTGGAATTTCCACAGAAAGATCCAAGATGGCCCCTTCCTTATAGAGAACTTAGTTTTTTTGTTGGACGCACTTGCAGCAACCAATGAGAGTGCAGCAAAGTGGTCACGGGACACAAGCCGGTCAGAGCAAGAAGACTGAAGAGACTCGAACACATCAAAACAGGGGCTAAACCAGGACTAAACCAGGACTAAACCAGGATTGACAGTGGGTTTAGTTCAGTGCTTGTGATTCAGAGATGTAGCATGAGCGTTAGCATCTCTGTATGAGCCCTGCACTGCTACAGTCTGCATTTATGGATGAGAGGAGCGAGGAGAATATGCAAATATCAAAGGCAGGATCCTGTGGGGAGTAGTGTGAGTTCTGCAGGTGACAATCAGTGGATGTGAATCAGAGCAGGATGAAGCTGCAGATGTCATCCACTGTTCAGAAGAGATGGATAGGAAGTTATTTTTACCCAGAGAAGGTTAACATTAGGACAGAAACTACCAGAACTCTCAGACACACATTGGGACGGCTGACATTCAAGATACAGAAATTCTGAGACATTTCCCCAAAAATGCTTGGTTTTAGTTATCAACAGAAGCGTTTTTCTACCTTTACTCACGTTTACTGTGTGCTACAACTGGTAAACACAGTTGAAAATCAGAACATAAACAGTTTGCTTACTGTATATTGCACAACACAAGCCTAACGTGTCCTACACTAGTCGTGGGAAAAAACATCCATTCTGTTCAGTATTGTGATATATCAGATATTCCAGAATCAAGCCAACTCTACAAAATCAGTGCGACCTTCAACTTCTTCTAAACTCTGCAGAAACATATAAGTGGTATGTGATGGAGTCATTGCTCTCCCCCTGGATCTAAGCATTAGCAGCAGGCTCCTGTCACTCTCGTCGGTGCGAGCTCCAGTTCTAAAGTAAGGTGCGGTAAATGAAACACTTGGTACTCACGGGTCTGCCACGTCTCACCTCGCCCTGTTCCTTCTATAATGTAATAATACTGATAATGTATAATCATCCATGGCTTGCCCGCAGCTCCAGGTGCACGTGTCCAAACTCTCCTCTTTCCCTGCACATGGTTCCAGGCGACCGGTCAAACAGAACGCATCTTCAGCCAAGCCAATTAACCCAGAGCATGGATCTATTTTAATAACTTCTTGACAAAATTGCATCTTGCTTTATGTCAGTAAAGCATGATTTTTAGTAAATGATCTTGGTTACTTTAATTGTGCATTTATATTTGATTGAAAAATGTAGGGTAAAATAAACTTTATTGTTTGTAAAGTATGTGGAAATGCAACTTGCCACAGAAACTTTTAGAAAAATGTCCCTTTAGATCAAGAATGTTTGCAACAATTGCCCACAAAAACCTGGAAGGACTGGTTAAGAATTGTGATAATAATGAATTGTGGCCCAAATATCGCTTTACGATCACGTTATTCGTCACATTTTTACCAAATCCCAACGCTAACGTACACTCCACAAGGTTTTCAATATCAGGACATTAATAAACTTTGGATTTGGACTCGTGTGCTTCCCGTGTACAGCAGACGATAAACATTCTGGAGGGGAAAGAGGCCCTCTCCTCAAACGCCTCGGTGTTTGAAGGTTCAGAGAGACTTTTACCTTTGAGCCGTGCTTCTCCTGAGTCTCTCTCCTCTTCTCCTCTTTCTTCTTGTCTTTCTGTAAGAAGCACACGGACAGGCGTCAGGACTGGTTCTCACGCTGTTTGTGGAGGGATTTGAAAGCCTCGCTACCAAACTGGCCGAGACAATCTCCCCCAAAAACGAACAGGACTCGACCTCTGCAGCTCAGAGAGATACAGCTGCGAGATACAGCTGCGAGATACAGCTGCGATGGAGGATCAGGATTCAGGATCAAAACACAGGGAAAGACACTGTTTTGGTTTGTTTATTGTCTGGCTCTCTCTCGGCTCTTACTCTCTGGTCACTATCTCTGCTCTCTCACTCTCTGCTCTCTCTCTCTTGTCCAACTCTCTAGTCTATGTCTCTGGTCTCTCTCTCTGGTCTCTGACTCTGGTTGTTCTCTCTGGTCCCTCTCTCTGGTCTCTCACTCTGGTCGTTCTCTCTGGTCCCTCTCTCTGGTCTCTCTCCCTGGTCTAACTCTCTGGTCACTATCTCTGCTCTCTCACTCTGGTCTCTCTCTCTCTCTGATCTCTCTCTCGGCTCTCACTCTCTTGTCACTCTCTGGTCACTCTCTGGCCACTCTCTGGTCACTCTCTGGTCTCCTTCTCTGGTCTCTCTCTCTGGTCTCTCTCTCTGCTCTCTCTGTGCTCTCTCTCTGGTCTCCCTCTCTGGTCTCTCTCTCTGGTCTCTCTCTCTGGTCTCCCTCTCTGGTCTCTCTCTCTGATCTCTCTCTGGTCTCTCTCTCTGGTCCCTTTCTCTGGTCCCTCTTTCTGCGCTCTCTCTGGTCTCTCTCTCTGGTCTCTCTCTCTGGTCCCTCTCTCTGGTCCCTCTCTAGTCTCTCTCTCTGGTCCCTCTCTCTGGTCTCTCTCTCTGGTCCCTCTCTCTGGTCTCTCTCTCTCTGCACTCTCTCTTGCTGGTCTCCCTCTATGGTCTCTCTCTGGTCCCTTGTATACATTATCTACACATAAACCAGACATATATAAAGCTTTAGTCTCCTATAGATCCTTGTAAACACAGTACTTTCTTTCTGTTGTATTTTGCGGCTAAATGCAGTAATGTAACATCTAATGGCCTCGGAGCTGGTCATTAAGGCCAGATTTCTCCAGCGGGAGATTCCTAATGTGACTTTAATGTCCTCTCCGTGTCTTGATGTGCATCTGTCATTAGCTCGCGGCCTTTAGTGTCTGCAGGTGTTCGTAGTGAGTGTAGAAGCCAACAAAGAGAAACCTCTGCCTCTGTCTCTGCCTCAGCCTCTGTCACTCTCTCTGCCTCTGCCTCTGTCTCTGTCGATCTGTCTCTGCCTCTGCCTCTGTCACTCTCCCTGTCTCTGTCACTCTCCCTGTCTCTGCCTCTGTCTCTGTCACTGTCGATCTGTCTCTGCCTCTGTCTCTGCCTCTGTCTCTGCCTCTGTCTCTGCCTCTGTCTCTGCCTCTGTCTCTGCCTCTGTCTCTGTCACTCTCCCTGTCTCTGCCTCTGTCTCTGCCTCTGTCTCTGCCTCTGTCACTCTCCCTGTCTCTGTCTCTGCCTCTGTCTCTCTCTGCCTCTGTCTCTGCCTCTGTCTCTGTCTCTGTCTCTGCCTCTGTCTCTGCCTCTGTCACTCTCCCTGCCTCTGCCTCTGTCTCTGTCTCTGTCTCTGCCTCTGTCACTCTCCCTGCCTCTGTCTCTGTCTCTGTCTCTGCCTCTGCCTCTGCCTCTGCCTCTGTCACTCTCCCTGCCTCTGCCTCTGTCTCTCTGTCTCTGCCTCTGTCACTCTCCCTGTCTCTGCCTCTGCCTCTGTCTCTGTCTCTGCCTCTGTTTCTGCCTCTGTCTCTGCCTCTGCCTCTGTCTCTGCCTCTGTCTCTGTCTCTGTCTCTGCCTCTGTCTCTGCCTCTGTCACTCTCCCTGCCTCTGCCTCTGTCTCTGTCGATCTGTCTCTGCCTCTGTCACTCTCCCTGTCTCTGCCTCTGCCTCTGTCTCTGTCTCTGTCTCTGCCTCTGCCTCTGTCTCTGTCACTCTCCCTGTCTCTGCCTCTGCCTCTGTCTCTGTCACTCTCCCTGTCTCTGCCTCTGTCTCTGCCTCTGTCTCTGTCTCTGCCTCTGTCTCTGTCTCTGCCTCTGTCTCTGTCTCTGTCTCTGTCACTCTCCCTGTCTCTGTCTCTGCCTCTGTCTCTGCCTCTGTCTCTGCCTCTGTCTCTGCCTCTGTCTCTGTCTCTGCCTCTGCCTCAGCCTCCGTCTCTGTGCCACGGCCTGACGCAGCCTCATTATCGTGGCCTTAATAAACTTGGAGTTTCCAGAACAAACACAGGGAATGATCATGTAGTGTCAACAGTGAAAGAGCAGCTCAGTCATTTACATATATTACGGAGCTCAGGGGAAACAAGGGGATTAGGCAGAGATCAGAAGTGGCACCGTCTCCCTCAGATCAGCAGTGGGACCTTCAACTCAAACTTATATTTACATATTTTCCCCTAATAAATGGGTTTTCTATAAAAATACATCAAAAAGTATTTATATAGGGCTCTGAATGGATGATAAACTTGTAGGCAATTTCAATGATATTATCACTGGTCTCTCTCCAGTCACACTCTGGTCTCTCTCTCTTGCTTTCTCTATCTCTCTAGTCTCTCTCTGGTCTCTCTCGCTGCTCTTTTTTCCTGGTCTCTCGCTGGTCTCTCTCTAGTCTCTCTCTAGTCTCTCTCTACTCACACTCTGGTCTCTCTCTCTTGCTCTCTAGTCTCTCTCACTGATCTCTGTCTCTCTTTGATCTCTCTCTCTCTAATCTCTCTCTCTAGTCTCTCTCTGATCTCTCTCTCTCTTGCTCTCTAGTCTCTCTCTCTAGTCTCTCTCACTGGTCTCTCTCGGTAGTCTCTCTCTAGTCACACTCTGGTCTCTCTTTCTTGCTCTCTAGTCTCTCTTTAGATGTTCTCACTCATCTCTCTCTGGTCTCTCTCTGGTATTTCGCTCTGGTTTCTCGCTCTGGATTCTCGCTAGTCTCTCTCGCTGGTCTCTCTTGCTGGGCTCTCTCGCTGGGCTCTCTCTGGTCTGTCTCTGGTCTGTCTCTGGTCTCTCTTTCTCTAGTCTTGTTTTATTTTTGACGGTAAAAGCATTATTCTGATATACTTTCACACCTACACATGTGTGTGAGTGAGTAAGAGAAGCCGGGCGTTAGCATGAATGAAGCTAACGACGTGGATTTGATGATAGAAAGGTGCGAAAACATAATCACAGAATGTCACATTTGCCTCCAGCTCCTGCACTGAATCAACACTTTACAGCTTCAGAAAAACTGGGTCATTTTAGCAGAACTCTTGAAATCAGTTTTTCCCTCCTCTCTCCATAATGATCGCAGCCTCCGCACTCGGCACATTTTGGTTGGATCTCCAGCATTGATGTGGAGTGACAGGTTTATCAGAGAACACGCCGTACCTCTGCCTTCTTCTCCTGAGCCGGCGGTGAAACGGTGACTTCAGACTTCTGCAGAGAGACACAAAAGACGACAAGGTTATGGAAAAATGGAGTGGTGTCATGTGAGGCCGCAGCCGTGTCCTCGGGCAAGACACTTCACCCCTATGTGCTGGAGTGTTCTGAAGTGGTACTCGTGTGGGATATTTCTGGTCTCGCTCTCTGGTCTCGCCCTCTGGTCTCGCTCTCTGGTCTCGCTCTCTGGTCTCGCTCTCTGGTCTCGCTCTCTGGTCTCGCTCTCTGGTCTCGCTCTCTGGTCTCGCTCTCTGGTCTCGCTCTCTGGTCTCGCCCTCTGGTCTCGCCCTCTGGTCTCGCCCTCTGGTCTCGCCCTCTGGTCTCGCCCTCTGGTCTCGCTCTCTGGTCTCGCTCTCTGGTCTCGCTCTCTGGTCTCGCTCTCTGGTCTCGCTCTCTGGTCTCGCTCTCTGGTCTCGCTCTCTGGTCTTGCCCTCTGGTCTCGCCCTCTGGTCTCGCTCTATGGTCTCTCTCTCAGGTCTTGCCCTCTCTGATCACTCGCTATGGCCTCTCTCGCTTTGATTTCGGTCTTTATGGTCTCATTGTCTGGTCTCATTGTCTGGTCTCATTGTCTGGTCTCATTGTCTGGTCTCATTGTCTGGTCTCATTGTCTGGTCTCATTGTCTGGTCTCATTGTCTGGTCTCATTGTCTGGTCTCATTGTCTGGTCTCAATCTCTGGGGTCTCTCTCTGGGGTCTCTCTCTGGTCTCTCTCTCTGGTCTCTCTCTCTGGCCTCATTCTCTGGTCTCTCTTTCTCTGGTCTCAGACTCCAGGACTTAACAACGATAGACAGTATTTCAGATTTATGCAGCTAAAATCTGGAACAATCTTCCTGAAAATTGTCCTTTTGAGGAATCCTTAGTTTTAAACAAGAGCCCAGTCGATCGATTTGATTTCTTTGTATTTTAATGACTGTTCTTAAGTTTGGAGAAACACATATCCAAGTCGCACAGAACCATTAGAATGATCAATGAACAAGGATTTATGGAGAATACTAACGAGCTGCTTGTTAAGTCTGAGCAGCTGCAGGTCAAAGACTGGAACATGTAGTTAATGATGTAGAAAGACAGAGCCGCACCTGAACCAGCCACACTTTACTTTCTTATACGTCAGTGATGAAGGCCACAGGAGACAATACACAGACTACATAGTGTAGACCATGCTAACCGGCTAGCTGAAGAAAAAAACCAAGAGGGAGGTACTCATGGATGAAGTTTTGCTCCTCTCTCTGACTTGTAAAAGTAAACTCTGGTGAGCTCTGGTGTCTCGCTCTCGGGTCTCACTCTCGGGTCTCACTCTCGGGTCTCACTCTCGGGTCTCACTCTACGGTCTCGCTCTACGGTCTCGCTCTACGGTCTCACTCTACGGTCTCGCTCTACGGTCTCGCTCTACGGTCTCGCTCTATGGTCTCGCTCAACGGTCTCGCTCTCCGGTCTCGCTCTACGGTCTCGCTCTACGGTCTCGCTCTCCGGTCTCGCTCTCCGGTCTCGCTCTCCGGTCTCGCTCTCCGGTATCGCTCTCCGGTATCGCTCTCCGGTATCGCTCTCCGGTATCGCTCTCCGATCTCGCTCTCCGGTATCGCTCTACGGTCTCGCTCTCCGGTATCGCTCTCCGGTCTCGCTCTCCGGTCTCGCTCTCCGGTCTCGCTCTCCGGTCTCGCTCTCCGGTATCGCTCTCCGGTATCGCTCTCCGGTATTGCTCTACGGTCTCGCTCTACGGTCTCGCTCTCCGGTCTCGCTCTCCGGTCTCGCTCTCCGGTCTCGCTTTCCGGTCTCGCTCTCCGGTCTCGCTCTCCGGTCTCGCTCTCCGGTCTCGCTCTCCGGTCTCGCTCTACGGTCTTGCTCTCCGGTATCGCTCTCCGGTATCGCTCTCCGGTATCGCTCTCCGGTATCGCTCTCCGGTATCGCTCTCCGGTATCGCTCTCTGGTTTCTCTCTCGGTTCTCTCTGGTCTCTCTCTCCTGTCACTCTCTCGGATCTCTCTCTGGTCTTTCCCTGGTCTTTCTTTTGTCTCATTTTGGGCCTAAAAAAATCTATGGTCCTGGTGTTTATAGTGTGATATTGTCTTTGTAAATACAGATATGATCCTTATCAACTGAAAATTGGTCCCAGCTTTTGTACAAATTCCGCATTAAGGCCAACACTATGATGATGTCACACTACGTCTGTCCACTTCTAACGTAAAGCCTATATGGATGAGTTTTAGCTTCTCTCTGAAAGTGCTTTTGTGTTGTCCTTGTTCAGTGTTAAAATGAGTCCTAATGAAGCCGGCTTTCCATCCTCTTCGCTCCAGCGCCCAGACCTCGAGGTCAGAGCCGCTTTCTGTCGTCAGACCGGTGTCAAAACACAATTACAGAGAGGTCCCCCCCACACGGGTCGCATTAACCTGAGAGAGACCTGAGCGAGACCTGTGCCTGCCTCCTCTGCAGGACAAACACAACTCAAAAGGGCAGAAGAGGAGGAGAGACAGAGGAGGGTGAGAGGCAGAGGAGGAGATCCAGGACTGAGGCTGTAGATCCAGGACTGAGGCTGTAGATCCAGGACTGAAGCTGTAGACCCAGGACTGAGGCTGCAGACCCAGGACTGAGACTGTAGATCCAGGACGGAGGCTGTAGATCCAGGACTGAGGCTGTAGATCCAGGACTGAGGCTGTAGATCCAGGACTCAGAGATTGTGATTCTGAGGCTATACAAAAATGTATTGAATGAATGAAAATATTTCTTCTTTAAATATACAATATGTTTTTGGGAGCTAAATCTGCTTTCTCTAACGTGTCACTGCGTGTGGGAGAAATAACGTAAATGTTTAATCTTTCCAAATGCATGTATGTTGTGGGCGTTGGAACAAAAGCGTGGTATGTAAACACAGCTCTAAAGTCCTTAAACTCTAAATCCTGCTCATGTTTCTCATTCCTTCTCTCTGCTAAAGCTGCATCACAAAGACACAGGATGTTAGCAGATAATGCACACAACGCTATGAATGTAACGGAATTAACTGGAGCAGGGATGGGAAGAGATACCAGAGAGAGAGACCAGTGAGAGAGACCAGAGAGAGAGACCAGAGAGAGAGACCAGAGAGAGGGACCAGAGAGAGAGACCAGTGAGAGAGACCAGAGAGAGAGACCAGAGAGAGGGACCAGAGAGAGAGACCAGAGAGAGGGACCAGAGAGAGAGAGACCTGATGGTGCTTTCAGACCGCAAACGCTGAAACGCTGAAGCCCCGCTCACCAGATGCGCATTCTCTATTTTTCAGACGCAGAGGACTTCACACCAGAACGTCCTGACGCGAGCCGGAAGTGCCGGAAGTAGCCGGCCGGCTCTGATGCTAACAGAGCTATGCTAGCGGCTTCTTGTGTACAGATCTTCTCCAATATGCAGCTTTGCAGCATGTCTTTGAACAGAGACTTTCCACAGGCTTTATATAACAGTAGTATGTGTTCACAGAGGTGCGCCATACTTGTTTTCATATTATTAAACAGTATTTCCGCATCGGCGAACACACTCAAAGCAGTTGCATAAGGTCACGGGAGCATGACAACGCATATTTTCACAAGCACAGAGTCCCCCATTGTCAACCCTGGTTTGAGTTCTGGTGAAGTCTGGCGTGGGTCCTGTTTTGGCTATTTACGAGTATTTTCAGTCTGCTCGCTCAGTCCGCTAATGTCCCCGTGACCACTTTGCTGCTCTCTGATTGGTTGTCGCACGAACGTCCCAAGGAAAGGATGAGCAGAATCAATCTCTTGTGGGCGTGGATTTTTCGCTCCTGCTCCTCCCCTTTGACTTTCCCGCCAAGTCCGTGCGTCTCTACTGAACAGTCAATTCGTGAGATGCACTGCCTTGAAGAGATGCACTGCCTCAGCTGTTTATGATGTAATGCAAACCTGTGCATGCGCGTTCCACGGTAGCCGAAGAAATGACTATCATCTTATCAATGACTCTTCTGGCCACCCAGGAAAAGCCTTGTTCCAGCTTCTTCCCTCTGGCAGAAGATACTGTTCTCTGAGATGCAGGACATCTCGTTATGCAAATAGTTTTTTTCCACGAGCTGTTAACAGTCTGAATAGAGCACTTTAATGTTTATTGCACTCGTACAGATCTGTTTTAAGTTGGTCAACTTCACGGTGACATTTGTTTACTGTTTTTTAAAAATTTGTTTTATTTTTGTCTTTTAATGTTGTTTTGTGTCTGTACTTGTCCTGTGCACACTGGGAACTCATACAAATGTATTCCAATGTAGTGTTACTGCAAATGGCGTAATAAATGAATCTGAATCTGAATCTGAATCTGAATCTGAGAAACCAAGATGGCGGACCGTGAATTTCTTTAAAAGTTAAAATGCGAACGAATTAAGACACGAATGTCACTTTTAATGCAATTTGAGGTGAGATGTTGATGGTTCCGTTTAGTCACATGTGGGTTTTAAGAGTCAAAGTTTTGTGCAAAGTTTAGTTTAAGCAGTCAACTGCGCCTGTGAAACCACAAAGCTAATGTTTTCATAGCAGCCTCCGCGGCTGCTGACGTAGGCTGATGACGCGTCCTGTGGCCACTCTACAGATTACAACTGGTCTGTCGGGTTGATAATGGAAATAATACATTTTATTTAATACATGTATCGTACTGTATTCAATATGATTAACAGTAGTGTGTTCAAACGAAATATTTAATTAGATCGATTTTTTTCCCCATTTTCCATTATCAACCCAACAGACCAGTCATCAGCCCACGTCAGCAGCCACTGACTGCTATGAAAACATTAGCTTTGTGGTTTCACAGGAGCAGTTGACTGCTTAAACTAAACTTTGCACAAAACTTTGACTCTTAAAACTAGAGATGCACCGATCCAGCTTTTTTACTACCGATACCGATACCAGAGCTATGGGTATCTGCCGATACCGATATTGACCGATACCGGAAATGATCTGGCTAAAATGTATTAAATAATTGAACTCTTTGTTCAAGTAACTGCAAAAGCAGTGGATGAACTAAAGCGCTAAACTTTCCAG